ATTGAAGGGTATTCGTCCCGTATTCAAGGGCATACGGGTCCTGCAATATCCAGCAATTCTTTTAGTTAGTTCAAAACCCATTGGAACGATAAATGATATACATTTACATCGATAGTATCATACTGTCTGTATAAAAACATTTGAAGTTTTCAAGCGTATTCGAGTTTCATACTTAAAATCATTCAAGCGTCACCCTACTTGAATTCGGAAAATTTTTCTGGATTCAAGTAGGGTGACGCTTGACTGACGTCACGTCACACGGACTTGAATACTCTTGAATATCTTTGAATACTTGACGTACGCGGGTCCGTACGCATGAGTATTCAACTTGAATATTCGGCATTTGGCATAGTGCATGTATCAAAGAATATTTTACCTGCTGAACCTAACAGTCTTGCAGCAAACAGACAACGACGATTGATAAATCCTCCTATTCGTTTCAATGACTATGTGAAGTGAATAACTGACTTGTTATTGATATATTATCACCTGAACTTTTTCAGATTTGTTAACATTTAATGTATTTGTATACCTTGTAAGAAACTTATTTACATTTGTTCTTTTCTCCCACAAGAAGGGATGTTGATTGGTTAGATTTATCTAATTACCATAATCCCATTATTTATGTTAATGTAGTCTGGTCTCGTGTTAGTTGAGAACGTGGCGGATTAAAGATCATATCTTGATGACTTAAGAGCCGCTTCGCACAAAAACCAGACAAAACTGAAAATTTTTGCTCAAAAAATCAAATCTATTCATATTTTGCATATTGATAACGTATGATTAGGTTTCAATCGCTGTGTAATTTGTTTTTGAAAATATTTCATTTTTCGTAAGAAAATCGCTAAACAGTGTCACATACTGGGCCTTTCCGTGACAAATCCTTGATAGCTAAAAATAGTTCGCAAAATAGCCAAACTTCATACCGAATTCATGTAAAAACTAAAATGGCTATTTTAAAAATTTGAATTGCTGCTTTCTTACTAACTCTTTCTTATTTATTTCATTGATTTTCAGACCATTTAAGTAAAAAGAAAATTTTCTGGAACTCGAAATATTACCATATGTATTTTCATATGCAAATTAGTACCTTTACAAAACGATCATTGTTTTAATATGCAAGTATTTTTATTGCAATAAAATTCGGAGTGAATACTAAAGAAGAGATGAGCTTTTCATATACATAAAAATTAGTCTGGGCAAATCACTCTCAGTTGCATAGAAATGAATACTTCTGGCGATAATAATCGGTTGAAACACCAAATGTTTTAAACCGAAATTAATTTACACGGCCTAAAATGTTCAAAGACAATAACCTTAACCCTTTTTATCTTAATAACATACATTTAATGTTGATTAGATGTTTATAAGCTTTGAAAATTGTTCGGTTAATACAACTGACAAAATGTGTCTTTACGCTAATAATTGTTACTAGAATAAGTCATTCTTACGCACCTAAAAGTGATTTGCCCAGACTAATTTTTATATCTTTGTAAAGCTCATGCCTTGCTTAGTTATCACACCGAATTTCAATGCAAACAAAATACTTGCACATAGAAAAAATGATCTTTTTTACTAGGTACTAATTTGCATATACAACTACATATGTAAACACTCCGAGTTCCAGAAAATTTTGTTTTTAATTAAATGCTCTGAAAATCAACGAAATAAATAAGAAATAGTTACTAAATAGTTAAAAAAGCATTTGATTCCGTTGAGCATCCTTTCATTTATGCGACTCTCAAAAAATTCGGTTTTGGTCCAAACTTTATCAACTGGATAAAAGTCTTGATGACAGGAGTTTTAAAAAAGTTTTAAAAAAGCTGTATTTTAAATAATGGTTACGCGTCTAATTTTTTTTGATCTAGACCGAGGTACGAAACAAGGAGATCCGATTTCGCCGTATCTTTTTATTCTAGTCATAGAAATACTAGCACTCTATCCGTATTGACAAAGGCATTCAAGRAGTAAAACTTMAGKAAACATCAGAAGTAAAATTAGTCCTTTTTGCAGACGATGCTACCTTATGCTTGAGAAATGTTCAATCTTTAAGGAGGAGCCTGGAGATAATTGAAAAATTTAAAGGTTGTTCTTCGTTAGAACTGAATCTTGAGAAATCAGAAGTTGGTTGGATAGGATCGTCTTACGATACTCAACTAACCGACTCTATTAAACGGAAAATTGACTTTAGAAAGGATGGCACAAGAATTCTGGGAATATACTTTTCACAAAATAAAGAATATCAGAACATAAATAATTTTGAAAG